CTCATAGGAAACGAGATATTTGCAATAAATGTGTAAAAAATCGATTTTTTGACCTTTGACCTTGGAATATCTGTAGTCGCAGACACCCTACGATAAGTAGGTTTTGAGACAAGTTTTAGGGTGTTGAAATAAAGGTTTATACAAGTTTATAGCCGACTATCTCTCATTCCGAGGTGAAACTCTAATATGCCTGGACTAGTAGAAGAAGAGAGTCGATAAGATCGCGCGTTTCTGTGTATTGTTAGCGGGAGAAAACGGGGAGGTTTGGCATCGCTGGCGGTGGTAGCGCCGAGTAGAAGTCGCGCTGTGAGACGAGCCGTGACGTCGATGTCAGCGCTCGGAAGTCGGGTCTTGGCCGAAACGGTTGATCACGTCGGCTGTCGCCAGGTGGCAGTGTTGATCGGAAACTAACCGCCACAAATTACTTCTTAAAAAAAAATACTACAAAATAAAAATAAAAAAAATATTACAAAAATATTGCAAGTAATTAAATAATAATATATTTGACTATTATACGAACGAAATAAAGTATAAATTTTAAATCAGAATTTATTGAAATCAAAGAAAGCGTAAAGAGTTCATCTTAACAGAATCATCAAAGTTACGACATGTGATTATTTTTTCTCATTTTTAATCATTACTTTTTTTCATTTTTATTTCATGATTGAGCATATGGTTGATTTTCATTAGCGGTCAAATAACTATGTATATATAAAATTCTCTGATTGGTCGTTTGAATCTCGATCAGGCACTCTCATACCAATCGAGTCGGAAGAAGTTTGGGTTCATTTTACGGACACGAGCTTACGATCAGACATCGTGATTAAGTTGCTAGACGCTTGCAGTAATGGTTTATGGGATCTGCTAACCTGTGATGTCGATACGTTTGTTTTTAATTTTAAAGCACTTTGATTAAAATTGGAATGGCCGGTAAAGTTTGGAATTCTGAGATATGGAAAACTTGGGATAAGCATGGAAAAAATGACTTGTAAGTGGTTAAAACGATGTTGCGCCAAAAGCGCGCCTGATTAATATTGAATTGATACTCTCGGTCCTATCCGAGAATTGATGGTTGCAACTTATCTCTCCTGTTTCTCGCTCTTCTGAAGAGTTAATTGTCAATTAACAACTGTTTGCAGCCTCAAGCTAATCAAGCACTTATTTAAGGAAGGCAACGCAGCTGGTAAGTTGTTTTACATTTACCCCTTTCGTGCATTTTAAATAGGCTATATAACAAACCTTTACTACATCTGGAAAACATTCTCTTACGAGCATTGCATTTTTAACCAATTTTTTCTTTTTTTATGGCTATACATATGCCTTATTATTCATTTTAATTATATAATTATTGCATAAATCATTGATTATTACTCTACAATAATTATTTTGACTCAATATAACGTCAATGCGTACTATGGTCTCAATTTGTATTTACATTCGTTTTTAGTATATTGTTTTAATTTATTGTAATGTATGCAGATAAGTTGGAACAAAAGAATTAATATTGTTCTTTCATTTGATGTTTACAGAATGGAGACGGGGATTATACGAATTGATTTCAAATGGAATCCGTGGAAACATAAAAAAGGATAATGTTATTGCAACATTAAGCGAAGTTACTGTAAGTTCTATTTTCATATTTCATAATATCGGTCATCGCAAGACAAGAAGCGATGATAACAGGTTGCATGATATATTTTCAGAATATTGATTGGGCGATACCATCAGCAATAGTTGATATATTTACCTTAATTGATGCAGAAGTTCACACCGAAGATAGGAATAACTTTTATTATATTGTAAAAGAATCGGAAAAGGTACCGTTATATGACTAAATTAATTTTCATCGTTGTTATAGCAATTGAAATTGTTAAAAAGATATTATTCATCTTTCAGGTATTAACAGATAGAATAATAAAAGAACGTTTAGAAATTGAAACATTGCAAGATGTAGGAACATTAAAAAACCGAAGTTTTCAAACAAAATTTATTAAAGTGAAAACGAAATTATAGTACGTAGATATGGCTAATATAATATACATTATATTAGAATACTTTTGTTTATTTTTTTAAATAACATATTAACCATATATGGATCTATAACAAAAGTACTATTTTTTTTTATTTTTCATTTCATATTTCAGCTACAAACAACGAAAATTTAATTTATTCAGAGAAGAAAGTGAAGGTTACTCCAAACTTATTGTAGAATTGAATCAAGAACGTCCAGAAAGTGAAGTGGCGTCAACTTTAGAAATAGTAAAGTCATTAATTGGTACGACTATTGTTTACGTAATGATTTAGCAGTAAAAAAATAATCTGATAGAAAAAATTAATATTTTTATGTAAAGAGAACAAATACAGCTGAAAATTCAAATATCTTTATTTCAGGATATTTCAACCTTGATCCTAATCGTGTACTTGACATTTTATTAGAGACCTTTGAAAATCGATCAGAAGCTGATGCATTTTTTATACCTTTAATTCGTTCGTATATGAGCGACCAGCAAGTACTTTGTGAAGTTTTAGGATTTAAATACAGCTCTACTGTCAATGGAACTCCGTTTTCCCTGCAAAAGCTCACAGCGCTGATGCTACAACATTCTGTAATAC